TCACAAGGCTTTAGATCCCATGAAAACAAAATCAGATGGACAGCACCATAAGCATTACAGCACGGAATAAGTCCGCGGCTGGGAAGAACAGCCAGATATGGAAGACGTCAAGCATTCCTTGGTCCCACCATAAACAAATCGTCCTAGATGTAAGGGCTACTCCAAAAGTAATGTCGTCTTTTTTTTTTTTTAAATGTTGGCACGTGAATTAAGAGGTTGGTGGTATGGCAGTAGAGACTGAAACAACATAAGGGGTGAATGTTGGTTGTATGGTAGTAGAGACTGAACCTTTCAGTTGATATTTCATTACGTTTGGTTGTCATGTAACGGATGGCAGCAGAGGGACAGTCTGACAAAATGGCCTTTGACATGGTAGTGCATATGAAGTAAAGGTGTGTCTCTGAATTCCTCCATATGGGAGAAATTGCGTACAGTTGCAGCAGGTCAGCTCCACTGATGCAGATTCTTATGCGCATGGCATGCAGGCTCTTGTTCATCACTGGAAAAAATTGCGTAGTTAATGGTGGTGACAGTGTGGAGAAATATGCAGTATTTTTGCAATATTTTTGGAGCAGCTCTCATGCATCAATATTGATACTGATATCTCTAGATTTACATTGGAAATGCTATTTCCTATTTACCTTCTGTTTCTGTCCTATTTTTAGAGATTTGTCATATCTGAACTGATATGCTTTTTAGGCTGAGAAGTCTTGATTTTTCTTTGCTTTCTTCAGTAGAAGCTGTTCTACTATTCTGATCACCTTCCCTGCTTCTCTGTACCTTTTCTAATTTTACTTGATCTCAAAAAAAAAAAAAAGTATATAAGTAAAGGTGTGAGCCTACCAAAAGCTATTCAGTGATATACCAACTCTTGTTTTATTTCTGTAGCATTTTCTTATAACATTCTGTTGCCTTTCTACAGTAATGTTTTACAGTCTTATCCACAGTGACCTAAAGATCTTCTTTCAAGGTTGCAGTAGTTTCTTTAAAGTCCCTCATTAGGCATGTATAGTACAGTTTGTTTTTCTCTGAGAGAATTACGTTGTACTTATCAATGTTGAGTTTCATCTGTCACTTTATCACCTAGTCACTCAATATCAAGACATGAATCAATGTTTCATGAATTTAATGACATATAATAAAGAGTAGTAAGAAGCTCAATTTAAGTAGCGTAAAAGACCATGACAAAATTACTTTGCAATTCCACTGAAGCAAAGTGAAACCTGTTTCCCTGTTTAGTGGCATTTCACATGAGGAGCAATTAGCTTTGCATTTAAACCTCAGAGAAGTTTTAGGGTATAAGAAGAAACATTCCTTTGATTTGTGTTTTAATGGAAAAGGTGATGTCAGATGGGATGTTTTAAATTCAAGTTACTCAGTCTGAAATTGGAGTAATGGGGCAGAATTCTTCTTGCCTTAAGGGAACCGGGAACCTGTGTGGTGAGCATCAGAACACATATTCTTCTCATTGCTTTTTGACCTGCCATAGATGTTAGGACAGGTCCTTTGATAATCAGGGAAGTTCCTTATATCTCTTTTACAAAATTTCTCTATTGTTTTTCTTGGGAAATGATACAAAAAAATAATGTTTTAGATTGCTATTGGATTTAAGGGGTGTGTGTGTGTGTGTGTGTGTGTATATATATATATATATATATATATAAATCCAAATTTTCAGACAGGATAAATTTGACCCCTTGGAATTAAGCATAATAGATGCTTAAAATAGTTCAGGAAAAAGAAGTTGGTACAGGCCATATATCTTCTTGGGTAATTTTGTTACATAAAAGGTGTGTTTTTAATATTGAATATCAGAGATGACTCAAAAATCCATTATGCATATGTTTCTGAGGAGATCTGAGGCATCTTTTCATCAGTCCGGTAGGGATTAGGGACCCTCAGCATTTCTTATGAGTCTCTCAGTAACTGATAAAACCTGGGCCTCAAGACCTTAACTAAGTCATTCAGTTTTTCTCTGTGAAAAACATCCTGTCTGTAAAATCTATATTCTGTGCTGCTGCCACTGTATGGGGGGAAAAAAAAAAATAACAAAACAAGAGAAGAAAACTGTGTTCAGCAATCAATCGTATCCATCTTTCTAATTCTCCTTTAGGAAGATTTTATTTTGCTAACCTTGTCTTCTATAGGTTAGGGAAAAGGGACTGTTCTGACAAAATGTACATGGTGCATGATTCCTCAGTCTTAGCCTGCAACTCACCTAATGATTGGTAGCTTAGCCAGAAGACAGGAGAAACACACTCAAAGCTACTGAATAAATAATCTGAATAAATTTTCTGTCAAGAACTTCAGGGCTTGGAAGAAAAGCAGGATGTCATTTCATGCAAAAGCAGTAATTTTAGCATTTTGTGTCATAAAATCCAAGGTCAAAATCATCACAATAATGAATAATCCTTGCTTATGTAGCTTATAAGTTCTAACCTAAAAAAGAATAATTCAGCTTACTAGTACAGTGCAATAAGATAACCACAATTAATTGATGCATCATTGTGAATGTAAATTTGAATTTTATTAAGTAAGAAATCACAATAATAACAGCTTTTAAGTCTGTTTTTAAGAGAGAATTTTGCTCACAGTCTCATAACGCAGGATGAGAAAGAAATGGAGTTTCAGCTGTGAAGAATAGAAAGAACAGCTGGACAGGGTCAGAAAAAAGCATCCTGCTCCATGCTCTGCGGTTCACCTTTGTTCCCAGAAGAAGCATGTTGTACCTAATTGGCACATAAGAAAATATGCACAAGCAGAAGGGGCCTGGGTCCTGTGGTATATAATCAAGCTGCTGAGAGGGAATAGTGAAAGGGATGATAAGGAATCCAAAAGTGCTCAGTAGTACTCATAATAACGGAAAGGGTTTATACTAACAGATGCTTTTGAGTAATGAGCAGCAGCAATAGATAAAAATAAGAATTAAGGAAAAGTGTATTATCCTCTAACAAAAGTCTCCTGTACTTGAAAAGTAATGGCTGAAAATACTAAGTAGACATCTTATGTATTTAAAATGGCAAAGTCAATAAGATAAAACTTTTCCAGTACTAATAAGCCATTAAGAAGACTTTATATAACATTGCAAAACAATTTTAAGAAAATGTGCTTTACAAAACAAATATTAATATTCAGGAAGACGTATTTTAAAAAGTGAAAGCTTTGACAACATAGCAAGCTCAAAACTTTGAGATAAGTAGAGACCTTGGTAAATAGCAGAGGTCTTTAAAAATACCAAATGAATCAATATTTTTTTTTAGTGGTTCTTCATGGTAATCATTTTAGTGCTTTCAAAATGTTATTTGATTTGAAAAAAGGCTGTGATGCAAATTTAATATCAAAGCTATTGCAAAGTCTGTTATAAAACTTTGTAACACATTGTATGTCATATAAACTCTTTCAGTAATCATTTGTCAGATGTCAATGTAAATTGTATTAAAATCCCACAAGAAAACATGAAAACAACTTGTGTCATTAAATAATATTGAGAAATACTGAGTTTGCATGCTTAGATTCTCTAGGTTTGTTTGTATATTTTTCCTGTTTTTCAACATAGAATTGTTAAACTTGTTCAGTTTTATCAGTTGTGATAAATACATGCAATATTTGCCACGTGGTATTTATGTTCTTATCCTATTCCATGAAAGCATGTGTTGCACCACATTTGTGTATACTAAAATGTGTTGAAAGTCATTAGTGAATTAAGGCTGAGGAAAAGCATTCTGTCAGAGATTCACAATGGATCTTCCTACATATTTTTATTTCTTCCTAAAAGGAGTTACTAGCATGGATCTCTCCTGAAATACACTTGCTTGTTGCAAGCCTAATGGGAAAGATCTATTAGGGAGAAGTAAATATGTCTGGAAAACAGGTGACTAGACTCTGGAAGGGAACAGAAACGTGGATGATGTGGATGCACTTTGGGTGCAAAGAAACAGATCTCAGACAAGGTGTTACTCTCTGTGCTTCTCTGGGCCTGAAGTGGAAGACTATCCATGATGCTGACCAGCTTGCTATCTAATTGAGGATCCCCAGAGTGATCACATTGCTGAATGGTTGGAGATATTTTCTTAATGAACTGTTCCAGATAAAATGTCACACTTAGCGCTAGCCTCAAGCTGACAATGTGGTTTTTTTTGCAAGTTCTTGTAACTAGATTTTCTTCAGACTGCCCAAGATAACCAGTAGACTTGAGAATATATTCAGTGTGAACTAAGTGGAGCCTACTCATGGTGACTTTCTGGTCAATGGGGTTGGTTAGCAGAGCTCCGCACTGCCCCAGCATCATATTGGACAGTTCTGGGGGAAAGAACACAGCAGACTTTGCCTTGCCAAGTGCTCTGCCATTTTTATCCTTTTTTTTCTTTGCTCACAGAAGGGATGTAGTTTACAGAGTACAGAGGGAACTATTCCTACAGAAGAATATTTGTTAACATGCTGTTCAGCAGATCCCACCTGGATGCTGAAAAATGTATCCTTCTAGCAATAATTTTCATTTTCTGAATAGGCTATTCAGATAATTGACATTACTACATCTTTGTTGTTTTTCCTATTTTCATTCTAATACTTCTTTGTGCTGCCTTTTCATCCTTCATTTTCTGATTTCAGACTACTTCTTTTAATTTGCTTTTTTTATATTTGTGAAGAGATTTTTTTTTTAAATTCCTTCCTTCATTTTTTGTTATGTTTTTGTTCTTTTTTTTTTTTTATTCAATCCATTTCATATCAAGTTTCAAATATTATTTTGGCTTCCATGCAGTCAGATTCCACTAGAGTGCATCTTTTCAAATATCCTATGTCACTAGATTCCTCTTAGGTGTCAAAAGAACAGTTATAGCCTCAGTCCATTAAAAATACATTGACTATCAGCAAAGTCAGAATAGAAGCATTAGAAGAGTAGTTATTTGTTACTTCGAATTCAGTTGCAGAGAGCAGGTGATTTTTTTTTTTTTAAGTCATATTAAATTGAAATAAAAAAGCAAGCATCTCATCCCTGCTAGAGCTGTAACATTCTCTGATGCTCTCAGTGATGGCCACCTCCCACTGGAACCAGCAGAAGCTTCTTGGCATCATGTCCTAGAGGTCAGCACTCTGCAGCTGCTTTGGAAAGGAGCCAAATAGCTTGCTCTCAGATTGTCCTCCTGTGAAGAACATTTAGCCATCAGACTCTGTGCCAAAAGGAAGGAATCTACTGAGAACATCCTGCTGCTGATGTGTTGCCCTCAGGAGGGATCTTTTCGGACAGAGTGTGAATGTCTTTCTTTTCTTCTTCCTTTGAACAAGAGTGGGCAGAATTTGTATAAAGTGTGCATAAAATCGCTAAACTACAGCATTTGTTATGTTCTGGTAAATATCTTAAAGAACCCATAGAGTAATTCTGGCTAATTGGTTCATACAAGAATGATGTAAAGTAAACTACTTAGAAAACAGCAAGCTGGGAACTTCTCCCAGTGTTGACAACATGAAAAGTAATATAAATAACATTAATTCTTCTTTGTAATTACATTTCTGTAGCAACTCCTCTCAAAACTGTGAATTTGCCCTATTGTGAATAACTGAAGGATACCACTCATGATATTTCCAAAATATTTTATGAAGGAAAGTCTTTATAGAGGATCATTTGGATGGCTAAATCCAGAATGTTGCATTCGTTTACATTCATGTGAAAATTCCTAGTGCCACCTATTGGCAGAAATAATAAAATGTTAGTTAATGTGCTGCTCTTCATGAAACATATTTTTCCTGAGAACATGGGGGGAAATAAATGTTTGCATTTCATATTTTAAAATACTAATGATAGTATAAATACTTGTATAAATTTTTGCATTCCATAATAGCATTAAACTCTTAAGAGGCATGCTAATAATTTTTCATTCCTGATGAAGATATTTACTTTCTACCTGCATCTGCCGTGAGGTGGAGAAAGTAATGGCTGATTCCCAAACCATCTGCCTGCAAAGATCCACCCAGCTTCTTTACAGGACTTCTGAAATGTATCAGATACATCAGATAAACAGCTACCTCTTTTTCCTTCCTCAGGTAATTTGTAAATGAAGAGAACTAAGGAAGTTCTGCATAGCATACAGTCCTTGTAGAAAATAATTTACACTTAACTATTTAAAGCCTTTTGGTGATTATTTGCCTATTCATGGCAATATAAATAATCACAATGTTTGATCAAAATTCTATTCCAAGCTTTTTACCTCAAAATTTTGACATTTGAATGGGAATGTTCCTATTTATTCAGGGAAAAAGAAATATATTTTTAAAATAGACAATTGTACCTTCTTAGTAATATTTATGTACTTGGGACAAAAATATGTCAGAATAAGTTACAGAAAGGAATCTCGCCAACCATGATCTGTGCTTTCTCCCAGATCCCATCTTTCTCCTGCTGGAAACCAAACATGAGTCCTTGCTGTGGCAAAAGAAAGAGTAGAAATAAATACAATGCCCAAAGTGCACAGGGGCAACATAGCCTGATAAGACTTGGTCACACCATCCACACATATCACACAAAGAAATTCAACATTAGTTCAGCTGCTGAAAATAAAAGGAGTGAACATTTTCATGTGGTGTAGTTTGGACAGTGTGAGGAAAGGCAGACAGACAGGGAGGATCTGGTACAAGATGGGTACAGAGGATATAAAATTACTTTGAATTTGTTAAAAGACTTTAAGATTGTGAGAAGACAAATTTTTTTAATGAATTTAATGAGTTCAGCTGCCAATAGTAACGTCTAAACTTCAAACACTGGCAGAACTAATTGACATTAAGCAAGTATTAATGAATATTTCCATGTCAATATGTTCAATTTATAAAATATATTAGCTGGAAAATCATATATACTTTAAAAAAACCTCATTTATTGTATGCTCCTACTCTGAATTTAACTGCTTGTCCAAATGAAAGTGAGCTTTCAGTACAACTTTGGGGTTGATATGAATGCACTTATCATTTTTGCATAATTAGTTTTTAACAACTATCAAGTTAGAGATCCATTTAGTACTTTTTTTTTGGTTTGCATTAGCTTTCAGATTTTTTCTGAAGAAAAATGAGTAAATATGGAATTTCTGGACCTCATAAATATAGAAGATGAACAATAAGAGATTAAGATGCTCTTTTTACCCCATAATAAAAACTTGCAGATAGTGAACATATGGGTACAAAGTCACACCTGTTGATAATCGATGGTCTTTCACTTCTAAATAAGTTTCTTTTAAACACTCTGAAATATTGCTATAATTGTGCATTTATTTAGCATGCACAGGTATTGAATTTCCAAACAGCATTCTCATGACTCTTATAGAGTCTTGTGACTCTTATAGGTGCAGTAGTCCCAAGTTAATAACGAACTTTTAATGTTGCAATGTGTGTACCATTCACCATTTTTGCAGCATCCTCAGAGGTGACATTTCCAAGCTGGCAGGGCTGAAACTCGCTGGGCTTTACTACTAACCAGCAAAAACAATTACTACTTTAGCTCTGATTGCTTAAAATTTGTAAATAATGATAATTAAAAAAAAACTGTCTGTAGCCCTTTTTTTTGTCTCCCGATGTCATTAAAGGAGAAATGTAACTTACTGGTATACGAAAAATACAGTTTATAGCTACAGCAGTGAGTACTGTTCTATTTTTTTTTTTCTAAAAGATACCTGTTCATACATGCATGAAAATACTTCGTTTAAAAAAAAAAAAAAAAAACACCAAATCAAAACAAAAAAAAACCCTGGCTTGTTCAGGAACGTAAGAACAACTGCTGCAGTTACAGTTAACAAAATCTTTGCCATTAGCTGATAAAGAAACACCATGAATAGTGCTGAGGTTCTTATCTTTACCATCATTATTGAAAAAGAACTCTACCTGAACCTCTCTCAAATGAAACTGTAGATTTTTCAAGCTGATAATTAAATCCCTGGGGGAGGAGGAAATAAATAAATGCATGCTTCATTTGATAGGGAAGAGTTTTTGGAAAGAAAAGGGGAGTGAGGCAGCTAGGTAATGGTACTAGGTAATGGCTATTGCTATGGGATTCACAGTAACAGCCTCAGCACCTGGCTTCCTGATATCTCTGATTTGTAAAGTGAAATAAACTGAACATTTTCACCGATTTGAGAAAAGAAATGGGCAAGACTAATCTGGAATCTCAAATGTTCCTTTGATCTAAAGGAAGAATGTTAATATGAGGTTCTTCCCCTCCCCCCCCCCCCTCAAGTATCCTTACCAATACACTATCTGGCATTTATCTGGTCATAAATACTTCCATTCTTCTGCTATGCTACATCCATCTGCTATAGATGCATTTCCTTATGAACCTTGCATTATGTACAGGTGTAAAAGCCTGAATAAAGTGTCTGGGGCACTAACAGTACAATTTCTACGTGAAAGCTGTGCAACAGTTTTTGCAGCCCTATTTAAATTCAGTTCATTTTCCAAGGCAAGCTGGGCACATGAGGTTCACTGCCTATCTGCCTGCTGCTCCCATTAGTACGTTTGGTCTTTAATACAGAAAATAATTTGGTCATATTTCAATTATTCAAACAGAAGTGTAAAAAAATTCTGATGAATACAACAATTTACAGACAAAGCATAAATGTGGTTTTTTTTTTCCATGATATTTTTGTATCACAGGAATACGTGTATTGTTCATTTCAATTATTTTACAGATTTTTAAAATATTTTAAGATAGTTGTCCTGGCATTTTCTTTAGTTCAGAAAGCTTGCAGTTCCACCTGCAGATTGTCATGGCTTTGGCACTGAATTTCTCTTTGACCTTTCCAAATCTAGATACTTCTGCCAGGCCATCAGCCAAGAATAGCACTGGAAAGAGATAAACAACTATTCAAAATCACAAGTGACTCTGTCAAGCTGCGATACATAAAATTGATTATAGACTTCATAAAAACAAGAAGAGAGTTTTAAGTAAACATAGTTCACTGTCCACCAAGGGAAATACCTAAAATCTACTGTATTATTTGAACTGAGAGAAAAAAAAGAAAAAAAAGATTAATGGGATGTGCTACTCTACTCATTAAACTAATGATCAAAGTTCTTGTCCTTGAAGAAAAAGAAGAAAAAAAGCTAATTATTCCATTAGATGGATTTTCTCTCCATGGGAAATGTGATCTGAGGCTTGACAACCTACCTGTACAAATGGCTTGGATTAAGATCTAGATAAATAAAAGCTTTTATTTTTTGCCAGACAATGAGCATAAAAGTAGAAGGCAAGTGTTAAAAAAAAAAGTGTCAAAAAGAAGGAATTTTGCTTAGCTAGAAGAGCAGAGAAAAAAAAAACTTTGAATATGGGAAAATGTGTTTTGTATTTCTCAGGTGTAAACTATGTGTCTTGCACTTTTTTTTTTTTTTTTGTCAAAACTGCACATTTCTGGAAGAATCTTCCTTGATCATGAATTCATGCTGTTCTTGATGATCATTTAGATTCAATATCCAATTTCATATCTTAAGATGATGCTTAAACTTATATTATAAAGGAAAGCTTCATAAAGGACTTCAAACTTTAGAAACATGGTAGAAATAAAAACTTCCAGAATTAATACGGATAGGGAAAAAAATCGCTTTCTATTTGTGTTTCAAGCCAGCCTTAGACTTTATCTATTAGGCACTTCCAAGAATGTGTTTAGTTTCAGGAGAATTTCATAAAGCTTCATTACAGGTGAGGTTCAATTTAGAGAACTGCTTTTCTCAGCCTTAGTCATGCTTTTATTTTCCAATGTGCAGACAATTTATTTGTTCAGCATGTCTTTTACCACGGTAATGGCAACTTCCAAAACAGAAGAGCATCAGTGATTGTCATGGTATTACATCTGCAAATGCTTAATGAGTAGTGCAGCTTGCAAATTTCAATACAATTTTAATTATGTTTAGCAGAAAATAGAAGTCATGACCAAGCTTCAAATGTATCTTGGTCAGATCACAAGCAAGAAATCCCCTGACTTGAATACAAATACTGTATGATTATTTCAGAGAACTTGCATTAGGATTATGCTTTCTAAAAGCTCACATTGTGGATAAAATTGTTCTTAGATTTTTATTTCATTTTTTATTTTTTAACTGAGTACTTTTGCTGTTACATTGTCTGAACTGTCCACTGAAAGTTAGAACATTGTATGTTAGTGATAGCTAACTTTGGGGATTTTGACTGTAAATTTTTAATAGTAAGGGACAATTGTAACTATAATTAGCTGACATGAACGTTCTCGCATGATGTCCTCTAATGACCTGCAATCCTGTTATAAATCATATATCCCTATTGCTTGCTTGACACTCATTGAAGTGAGACTATTTTTGTAGTCCCTATTGTCCATATCTAACAATATTTTCCCCTTTTCTACATGGAACTCCTTCCCACTGCGCAGTGTTCCTCAAACCGGACAAGCTATCGAATGAATATCTTTTATTATTAACTTGTTGTCAATTTCCTTATGTTTGTCTTCTACAAGATGAAGACACTTAATAAAATGTAAATGCATTCAAAATGCATGCCTTCAATAATTCAGAAAAATATGTTTGGGTTAAGTTCACTCTTGTTTTCATTTTCCTTTCCATGTGTTTATTCCTTAGATGCAGTTGAAGACAGTAATTATATACCCCATCAGCTCTCTTTTTTTGCTTGGCTGAACAAATGAAGCTTTCTTTGGCTCCTGACATACAGCAAGCTCTCCAGTCTCACCCTTCTAGCAGTCTTTCTCTCCACCTGTTTAGCTCTGCATTTTCAGTGTAAAATTGTAAT